TAAAATTATATTGACAAGTTAAAATGAGACAAATATTTAAAAACAACAAATCAAGATTAGTGGATAGATACTTGAAGATCATGAGATTGCTTAATAATTATATAAAATTAGTTAATAATTAATTAGATTGATAATGAAATCAAGTACCCAAAAAAAGGTGTAAAAGAAAAGTTAACTCAGAACAAACAAGTCACAACATTATTATATTTAGCTCAAAGTATAGCAAGACAAGGTTTCCTTTTCTTAAATATAATAATAAAAAGGAAAGAGGCAATTTAGATAAAACTGAAGGTCCCAAGGGTAATTCAGTCAATTGAAGAAGAGGGGAAGAAAAAAGGGTAAGTAAGCAGTGAGCAAGTTGTAATTGAGAGAGAGTGGCTTCCCCCAAGGGTGCATGTGAAGGTGATATGGGCCAGCAAAGCCTCAATTGGAAGAGAAAGAGAGGGAAAAGAGAGCACATGGGTTGGCACATGGTGAAAGAATGAGAGAGAGAGAGAGAGAGAGTGATTTTGGATAGTTGCTTTTAGGAAGGGAGAGATAGACATGTGACAAAGGGTGAGACAGTGAAGCAGCATGAAATGTACAGCATGTTCTGCACATTCCCTGCATGGAACTGATCATTTGACAGCCCCCCTCCCTCTCTCTCTCTCTCTCCCTCTCCCTTCCAAAATTTCGTGTCTAATTATAATATTATCACAAATGAGGCTTAATTTTGATTATGGAGGATCTATTGTGAAATCGTTCATATATTTATCATTAGACTATGTTTTGATGTGCATATTAATAATACAACAATCATATAAGACCCTACCATTAATCACAGCCATTGAATCAATTCAAATTGAAATTGGACTGAGATTGGCTCCAAAATAGAATATAATTAGCTTATCTCAATTTTAAATATTGAAATTGAAATTGAAATAATTGAAAATTGATTTTAAAAATTATCGCATCATATTTTATAATGATTGACACTTTGGTATTTTTTTATTAATTTAAATAATAGTATTTGATAGTATGTGATTTAATAAAAAAAATTTAATAGTATTGAAATTATTTACATGATTGCAAAATTGGTGATTACAAAACTCACTCAAAGTCTAATTAAAATAAAATATTTTAATTACTATATGATTAGATTTAGTGATTTGGAATACACATGTTTAGTTTTGGATTTGAAGCTACACTTCTCCACCTTCAATGCATGTGTGACAATTGTCACTGCTGCATGTGACTATATGTGTTGCTAAAGTGGGATGGGAATTAATTAATAAGGTCCTTTTCTTTTTTCTTTTTTTTTCTCTCCATGAAAGTTGTCTTTTGGGCATTCTAAACTCATTCTTAATTTCACTGGTCGATAATTTTAGATTCGGATAGTTAAATTTAATTTTTTTATTAGCTAATTAGTAGTAGTATATAATTTGAATCTTTTAAAAGACAATGTATGGCATGTATATATATAGTAATGGCAAAATGAAGGGGAAGCTTCCACCAGTGTCTTACTTTTTTTTTTATAGTGGAGAGGTTTAATTTCGAGCTCTCTCAGCAAAGTATACTTTTCGAAAGTCAAGTTTATACTCTCACCCTTACGGAATTGAGGTCGCTAACCGCTTCAACCAACACCTTATTGGTTCCACTAATATTTTACTTTAATTATTCACAATTTAGTCATTCTCCTTGTTATTGTATGTTCTTCCTTTTTTCTAAGGTGCAATATGTACTAGTATTAATAAAATTTAAATTTCACTAACAAAGTTTTACCATTCCTAATTATTGAAAAATTAAAAAAATTCCCCCCCCCCCCTCTCTCTCTCTCTCTCTAGGTCAAATATGAAAAAGATGTATCAAAGTGAGGGACAAAATGATAAAGGGTCAAGAGATGGGGTCTAACATATTACTTTATTTAGGTTTTTTTTTTTACAATATTTTTAATTAAAAAAAAAAAAAAACACTTTTAGCTAGGGAATTCCATGTGGTGTTTAGTAGCTTTATTCCATTGGTTTTCTGGTCGGTAGAGGGTAAGAAAAATAAACATGGGTGAACAACCCTTTTCGGTTGGGAGCCCATCCAGATGGCCCACTTGTTTTGTCTAATATGGACAATTGTGCATTGGGGACTAGGGACCTTTTGTTCTTTTATCCTTTTTTACAGTTTCCATTGTTCAATTTAATTTTTGTGATCTCATCTCCCTTATTTCTTGTCTTATTAATTATTTAATTTATCCAATCAACAGCCAATTCAATTTTATCTAAAAAAAAATTTTAAAACTTCTAATATTAACCGTTAACTTTTCACTGTAGCAGTTTAAATTAGAAGTATTCGGTAAAAATAATTATTTAATTTAAAATAACAAAAAATTAATATTATTAGTTGTTTAATTAGCTGAATTGGGAGAGAAAAATAATGGTATTATTGTCAAAAAATTTAATTAAAAAGCTAAATACTAAATATTAAAAGTTAAACTTTATAGTATTTAATGTTTTATAAAAATTTCCATCAATCTCTAAAAACAATTATAAACATTATGCTACCAAATGCTATAATTGGTACAGATAGAGTTTTGAAGACAAAACGTTAGCTAGTTTCAAAGCTATATTGCCGGATAAAGCATTAGAGTTGTAATGTTAAGAGAATTTTATCTGAATATAATTGTTGTATATGTATAAAGAAAAATAATTTAATTTTTCATTGCAATTTACGAAGAAGTAAATATCAAATTATGAAAATAAAGATTTGAGTATAAATAAATAATTAAATAGTAATTCACTCCAACTTTTTTTTTTAGAAATTTAATTCATTAATAATAAAATCAAGTATTACAAATACTCAATTAAACTAGTAGAACTTACTATCATAATTAATAGAAAGTTTGCTGATCCTTCAACAAAAATATCAAATTATGAAAATAAAGATTTGAGTATAAATAAATAATTAAATAGTAATTCACTCCAACTTTTTTTTTTAGAAATTAATATCATTAATTAATAAAATCAAGTATTAATTCATTAATAATAAAATCAAGTATTACAAATACTCAATTAAACTAGTAGAACTTACTATCATAATTAATAGAAAGTTTGCTGATCCTTCAACAATAAAAGAATTATCTATATTCTTTTGAATAATAAAACTAAAACTAAAAGAAACAATATTGGATTTTTCCGTTTAAAGATAACCTTGATCGATATAAATCTTTATAATAGCAACTGATCCTTTAATTGATTTGGACAATAAAATAAATCATCCAAATCTTCTATGTTTGGATTGCTTTTTCAAAAAATTTGTTGCGTATAACATACACATATGAGTTCAAGCTATTATGCGTTAATAGCATCAATTGAGGAATAAACCGCACTACCAGACTCCATTGATCGAAAATATGCATTAGTAAAACAAGATTTAAATTCTCCAACAACATAAGATTAAATATTATACATTTTAATAACAAATCTTCATAAAGAAGGAACTAAACCCTCAAGGAAGAAGGAACAAAAGAACTTCAAATATGGAGACAAAGCAACAATAACAAAAAAAAAAAAAAAAAGAAAAAAAAAAAAACAAAGTCATTAGAGAAAAGATATGAAAAAAAAAAAAAAAAAAAAAAGAAAAAAAAGAAAAAACAAAGCTATTAGAAAAAAAGATATGAGTTTATTAAAAACGAGTAAAAGATTAAGCGAGAAGAAAAAAGAAAAGTACGGGGCTGCTGCTGATTAACAATGGCAGCCCCAAACAAAATCTCTGGTTAAATAAACCAGAGAGAAAAGAGGAAGAGAGAAACCCTCCACTCAAACGTTTTAATTAATTAATAATACATTGACTATACGTGTAAATCTGAACGGCTATGATCGTTTATTTATTTTTTTTCCACTCTAAAATATTTTTTTAAAGGAAGAGAAAAAAAAAATTGTTGCTCTTAAATCAATTGACTTGATTAATTTGATCCAAGCCATGGGGAAACAACATTGATGCATCACCTTTTGGATCAATTATATTTAATTAGGAATGGAAGAAGGGCATGTATTTCGAGTGCTTGTCCTGCCATGCCATATTCTAATACGTTGAATGTAGGTTTGGATAATTATAAATAGATTTTTGAGATAAATATTGAATAGCAAAATTATATTCATGATGCATATGAGTATCTATTTCTAAATATTTATTACTCGTTACATGTTATATTAAATAGGTTTGATGGTAGATATCCATGAGTATTATACATATTATTGGTAAAAAATTTATTTTAAATAATTTCATAGTTAGAAAATTTTCATTACTATTAAGTGATCCTCGTATCTTAATTTTCAAGTATTTAGATTTGATTAATATTTGAAACTTTGAAGAATCCGAGGAATAAGAAAAAAAAAAAAGGGTAAGCTCCTACAAATACAAAATTACGATTTTGGAAAAAATAAAAACTTTTTCCCGATTGTTTATGAATTATAATTTTGAAAACATGATTGTTGTCGTTTGAGATTTTTCTTTGTCGTTCATGAATAATATAGAGAACGTTCTCTCTTTCCAAACCGGAAGGACTTGCATCTTTTTATATGAGCTTACAACTTCTGGACTCAAAAGCCATTACCATAAGCTGAACTATAAAGAATGGATCATTTCGAAATCCTCGAACATATTTTAGGGTTCAACATGATAATCTCGAATCAACTTTGTCCACAAACAAGCAAGCTAATGATGTGAAATCTTTTCCTTTTCCTGTTGTTAATGAATCAAATGAAAAATTTTCTTTTTAAACTGAAAGAAATTGCACTACACTTTAGTGATCCACAATGAAATCTAGTATAATATAATCAAAGACAGGTTTAGCGTAAAAAGACACTAAAAATGCCTTTATTACCTTACATGGCAAACTGTCTGATGTAACCATAAATCTTGGTTTTGGACTTCTGGCCCAACCCAGGTAATGTGATGGGTTTTCTACAAAGCTACTACATCGATTGTTTTCTTTCAATTTGCTCTTCTTAATGTTAGCATATAGGACTTAATGGTCTGAACTTTGAACGCTTTTATTTGTGTCTTGTTGTGCTCACAAAGATGATACAAATTAGGTGAAAATTTCACAATCCAATCATTCAAATTTTAACAAAAAAGACAGAAGTCTAATCATGTTTGTTGATAACAAAACTACCTACTCTCTCATCCATTCAATGAACCTCTTGAAATTTTGGTAAGAGCTACCACCTTCTTCAACACTATTTACAACCAGTTCTTTCAAATCCAATGCTCTTTTTCTAAACTCCCCATTGCCCAATACTTGCTCCACCTTATTCTTGATTTCCAGGTGAACGATTATACCATTTTCATTTCTATCAAGTTCTAATCCAATCTTCCAAATATCACAAATGTACCTCTGGTTAAAGAACTGGTCAGCAAAATAAGGCCAACACAAGAAAGGTACTCCATTGCTTACACCTTCCATGGTGGAGTTCCAGCCACAATGACTGACAAAACAAGAAACAGATTTATGAGCAAGAACTTTCTTTTGAGGTGCCCAACTAACTATCTTACCAAGATTGCCCACTCTTTCTCGAAACTCTTCAAGAAAAGCATTGTTTGTGCTCTTTATATCTGGCCTTACAACCCAAAGAAATGGTTTCTTGGAAAGTTCCAACCCTAAAGCCAATTCTTGGAATTGTTTTGGATCAAAAACTGCAAAACTACCAAACGCAACATATATGACAGATTGTTGTTTCTGTTGATCAAGCCATCGAAGGCAAGTTGAGTCTTCTGCCCAGAAGTTTCCGGTTGAATTGAGTCTTTGTCTGTTGATTTCTGAAACTGGACCTATAGGAATTATTTGTGGAGCCAAGTTGAAAGCTGCAGGCTCAAGGTCATAAATGGAGTTGCAGAGAAGCCAATCTGTTAACTTTATAGATTTGTTGTTATTAAGCATTAGCTTAAAAATATTCTTCTGTGATTCCATGTTGCCAAGGCAAGCCCACACAAAATTGGCAGTGTTCATCGCTGGCATTGTTGGTGAAATCCTGACTATCTCCTTTTTTGTTGGGGTTCCTGAAAATCTCAATTACTTGGTGATCAACTAAAAACAAAATGAACAATAAGAAGAGAAAGAACTAACTCACCATAATCATCTATTATTCCATCTTGAATCAACTTTGGGATGCTAAATCCCAAAACCAGCTGAGCAGCAGCAGCAGGACAGAAAGCGGCTCGCCGAATTCCTTTCCTTTCTGCAATTTCCAAGGCCCATCCAATACTCTGATCAGCAATAATGCAACTAATCTTATCATTAAGTTGTTCAATAAGCTCTTCTACTTTGCTTGGCATAACTCTCAAGACTGCATCAGAAGACAACTTCACTGCATCATCTGAAATTGAAACTAAATTTATTTGATCACTGCTTGTACTTGATGTGGATGCATTTTTTATCAGTTGATGATTAGATTCTGCATTTACAAATGTGATTTTGAAGCCATGTTTAGCTAAGCATTGAGAGAGCTCCATTAATGGAATTACATGGCCTTGTGCTGGATAAGGTATTACCAGAATATGTGGATTGCCCATTTTTAATCTCCTACTTCTTGAACTTCTTGTTAATTTTACTTGTATAAGGAGGAAGAAATCAATAATTGAGATATTGTCTTCTAGTTTTTTGATGTTCAGTGGAATCTTGAAATTGGAATCTCATTTTTTTTTTTTTTTTTTTTTTAATCCATTTTTTTTTTTTTTTTTTTGTATCTATCTTTTTTTTTTTTTTTTTTTTTTGTATTATCTGCTTTTAGAAGAGACCAAAACTTTTCATTTAAAAAAAAAAGGAATCGTGGGTTGTATTTTATCCAATCCCAACCTAACTACACCAGTACTGTATTTTATTGCCATTTCTATAGCAAAAATTTTGACTTATTATTTTTATGTTATGAAACTAATTTAAAAAATTTAAAAATATCAAAGAATTTAATTTTGATAAATGAGATTTACGTCAGAACCTTTCTTATAGCATCTTCAATCTTTTATTTTGATCCATTAAATATTTCAATTAATAAAATTGCACGTATTAAATATTTTTGTTTGCAAATTATTTTAATGAAACACTACAATATATAGTATTAGATGAATTAAACACTTATTGTATAATTGACAATGTGAAAATTATACTGACAATATATCAAATTAATTATTTTACATATAAAAGCTAAAAATCCTAAAAATTATTATTGCTGGTATGAAAAAATGTAATAAACTTTAAGGAGTAAAATAAGTTTCTTACAAAATTTGAGGCACCACAGATATTTTTTTTTTTTTAGAAAAAACAGATGAATGAATTTATATATTTGGTCATGATAAATTATATACTGCACATGCAAAGGTAATATTTACTTCTCAATTTTAAGTTTTTTCAGTAATAAATTATATCATGAACAAGGAAAACAAATCTAATATTATAAATTGGAATCGAATTAAGCTACATCAAATTCCTAGTATGAGAGTTTAGTTTGACAAAATAATTAAATAAAACTCAATAATGCCTGAATAAAACTTCATAATCAGCAATGAATAATGAAAAGAAAGACAAGATTAAGAGTTTAGAAATAAAACTAGACAATAGCTATGTGGATTGCTTCCTTGAATCTTGGCACAAATCTTGGACACTTGAAATCTTTGAGAGAGAGAAAACTGTGTAGAAAAATACTAAAATTCGAGATATCCCAACAATGAATAGCTCCCCTCTTTATATAGACTTCTTAGAGGAAAATCTGACTCCGTTTAGAAAATAGAATCTTTATTAAGTACGAAATCTTCTTTGGAGATCATAATTGATTAGGCCTTGGATTTCTTCTTAATTAGGACTCTTCTTTCTTCCTAAATAGGTAGGTTTTGATCTTGTTTTGCACGTTTAGGAACATATCTGAGGTGGGCCCATGTGAGAAAAAGATCTGCTCGCGTTTTTAGTTCAAATCAGCTCTGCCTTCGTGGCACGGGCGTGCCATCTAGCACGGCTTGGGCATGCTAGAGTCTGGATCTATGAATGACTTAGCACAGGCCGTGCTCTGCAACACGCTCAGAGAAGTCTTTGTGGCACGGGCGTGCGCCATAGCACCGTGCGCCATAGCACGGCTTGGGCGTGCTAGGCTCTGTCCTTCCAAGATAACTTTCATCATGGGCGTGCTAGGAAAACACGCCCTGAGGTTCCTTTGGGCACGGGCGTGCTGTCTGGCATGCCGAGGGCGTGCTAGCCCCTGACTATTTTTCTTTGTAATGCTCTTTTATGTGCCAAAACCCTACAATTTTCTTTCAGATCAAGTGGATTGTGATTCAAGAAAGTTTTGAACAAAGATTATAGTTAAAACGAAGTAAAAATAATTTAAAGTGATAAAATTTACTAAAATTCTAACTGAAAACTATATTAAAAATACTATAAAATTGACACCTATCAAGAGTAATGAATCCTCTCTTAATTACACAACTATCTCCATACGGTTCATACTATATCTAAAAAATCATTGCTTATTATTCATGAATGAATAATGTGAATGAAGAATCAAACATAGTCATCTTCATACAAAATAGCTTAGTAATTTCAAGTCAAATGATCACTTACATAACCATCACTTGAGTATTTCATAGACACAGATAACTCTCCATATAAAATTCTCATGCAGGTCAATTCAGTGGACTTGTTTAAATAACAAGCACCTACATATTATTTCTAGATATCACATATATCTTAGCTTATGAGAACAATAGTTTCCCTAAGAAAAGAACATATATGTACCAGTCTCAATAGCTCTAATCGTCATCCAATAATTAGGAGAACATTGACCAGGAATATTTAGAGATATTACTTTAATGCAAATATAAAACTCATAATTATAACCACAATATAATTTATTTTACAAAGCAGTATTGTCTCATGGACTTTATCTTTTACTAAAATTCAACTAATAGAATATAAAAGATAAATAAATGTCTTTTATTAATAATAAAATATTTATTACATGAAAAATTATATCCAAAATATAATCAATTGAACTGGCTATAGGGCATATAACTAACAATCTCCCACTTGCACTAAAGCCAATTACCCATGTGTTTTATCCTATGCATCAATGTATCCATGAACTCTTAGTTCATTAGTTTCTCCACAACCGAAAAGTATCCTTACTTATATTTAAATACTTAAGGATAGTTTTAACAACAGTCCAATAACTTTCATCCAGGTAGATTGATATATATGTAAGTATCCTCTTTTGGATTCCTGAATGCTAATAATTTATCAATATATGTGGATTCAGATAATCTTAGCAGCCTATTGAATCTATCTTTATAGATTTTAATACAAAGTATATAAGCCGTTTCTCAAATGGAGAAGTTCTTGGATGACCAAAATTTTAAAGTAATAGAATGTAATTTCCTATTATTAATATGTTATCAACATATAAAATAAGAAATATCATTCTGCTTTCAGTGACCTTCTTATACACACAAAGATCATCCGTATTTTTAATGTGATCAAACTAATTGATTATTTCATTAAAACAGATGTTCTCATTCTGCAAAGACTTGCTAAAGTCTACCAATGGACTTTTGCCATCTGCATACTATATTAGGAAATTTTTTTGATTCAAAAATCATTAGATTTGCTATTTAAGAATGCAGTTTTGACATCAATATGACAAATTTCATAATCATGTTTTGCTTAAATTGCATGTAAAATGTCAAACATTTCTCCTTTATATTTGTTTGGTTTGAGTCTCCACAAGAAGGTTCAACCTTTGTAGGAGCACGGCTCATCCTAATAGATTTACATGGTGGTTCTTTAACTAATGTATTATGAGTGTTAATCTAATGTAACAATTGTATTTGAGATTCTTGAACTTTTCAAGTTCTACCTAGCTCTCACCGCTTCCTTTAAGGATAAACACATTTTCTAAAAAGGTAGCATATTTTGAGATAAATATTTTTCTCTCAATAGGATGGTTGAAATAATATTCAATATTTTCTTTTGGATATCCCATAAACTTACATTTATCTGATTTAGCTCATAGCTTATCAGATCTCAAATGCATTTAATTACATTATTTTATGTTGTTATTACGATTTACTAAAACCGATTTAGTATTATTAGTGTTTATTACTATGGAAATTATAGTCTATTAATCTAATATAAGATATTGCACTTTCAAACTGTAACATCCCTTCCCGGTCCACCCGTAAACCCGAATGAACCGAGTCGAAACGTTACAAACTGGTTGACAAACTGACCTGACATGCTGAAATCATAATGGATATTGAATATAATATCATGCTGATGTTATTTACATTAATAATGATAATGTACTGAAGATTTTACAAGACATATGTTGTTTACAAAATGAAATGGGGCCCAACTGTGTGCCTGTTACATGCCATAAAAAAGGATAGACCCCAAGTATACAGAAAACATGCATATTAGCTAACCTGGAAGACTGAGTCTTACAGAGATGAACTGCAGCAGTTGTAAGCTGACTCTCTACTGACCAGTCTCAAAACCTGCGAGTTAAATAGGTAACTCGCTGAGCAAAAAGAGCTCAATGGATATCTCATCATAAAAAGAAATAATGAAACACATACATGTATAGAAATAAGCATGTAAACACATATGGCACATATAAGCATACATATCATGATACTATTCTTTTCCCTTGATGGTCTTTCTTTCTGTTTATTATACTGTATGATAAATGCAATGTTCAGTCAAGAGATCTGTATAGGTCCATAAGGTTATAGCGAAACCGAGGTGATAAGAAAAACTGTATGAATACTGTATGCTTGGCTGCTATGGCCTTTATAATCATATCCACTCAACGGCCTACGGCCTTTAGCCAGAGTACCAAACTGTATGAGGTGCAGATCTGCTATCCTATGTCGCGACATGGTCTTATCTACATGGTTTCTACCTAACCTCAATGGAGCATAATGTTAGGCATAATGTTAGGTATGACAATAGTATAACATAACATCACATTAATAGTTCATCATAAATGGTTGCCATGTTCATAACTTCATAAATCATAATGTTCACTTAATTTCACATCATTGTATGCTTTCATGTTGTTTGATCCATGTTCTAATGTTATATTTTTGTTTTAGAATGGTTGGAGGCATATAAGGTGAGCAAAGGAATCCAATTGCATTGAAAAAGAAGTCCAAAAATGCATGAAAACCAAAGTCGCGAGCGCGAGCTGCAGAAATGCAAGTCGTGAGCGCGCACTTGCAAGTCGCGAGCGCGTAAAGGGCAAAATGAGAGTCAGTGAGTTATCGAGCACAAGTCGCGAGCGTGCACTTAAAAGTCGCGAGCGCGTAATGTGCAAAATGAGAGGCAGAGAGCTTCAGGCCAAAGTCGTGAGCGCGCAAGTGCAAGTCGCGAGCGCGTGACGTGTTTCCAGTCTACGCGGTCGCGCGACGTGCTTCCAACCTGCGCGAGCTGCACTCTTTTGGTCATATCTCTCAATATACAACTCCGATTTATCTCTCAGGTCATATCTCTCAATATACAACTCCGATTTGGATGATTCAAAAACCCATGTAAAGCTAACACATAGAGGAACAAATAACTCTTCTATGACACGTCATATTTCCATCATTAAATGGGGTCAAAATCAAGATGAAGTCACTAGTTCTTTTCTAGAAAACCCTGTTTC